TTTCTGACAATCAATTTTGGTATGTACAATTTGAAGAAAATCAAAGATAATATCCATTTTAACAGGTAATTTCCAAAAATTCAAATTTTATTTGAACATTTAGCACAAGCCATATTAAAACCAAGCATATTCTCAGTCAAAATTAAATTAGTCAAAGTATTAAGAGGTTCAAGTAAAACTAAAATATAAATATTATAAATCCTACATAAATTCCTCACTCTGTCCCAAGAGACAGAGCCATACACACCCTTCATATTCCAAATCAAGGTCTTAACCATTAACAATGCTTGAGGGATTTACAGCCCTGGTGACCATAAGAGTAGATGCTAGAAGGGCCTTGATATTTTTACATTTTTTAACCTTAGTAAACCATCATCAAATTTATCCTTATACTCCTTAGATCCAAGTGATTACATGAAACTATTGATAACACTTTCTTGAACCTTACTAACATTAGGAACAAAGAAACTTGATGATCCTGAACACACACCCCATTGCGTTATTATGAGAAGGAATGAATTCCATGTCATCACCTACAGGCAAAGCACCAGAAAATCGAGGGATCTGATGATCTTGAACACCCACCCCATTATCATCCTCCTCCCCAATCGGATTCCCTGCACCACCTTTAGCAGTATTAGGTTGTTTTTTCATATAGGGTGAAGCACAAAACATTCATTCATCAAATGACCATAAATCTTACAATGGTTGCAAAAATCAGGTATATTATCAAATTCCACTTTCTGTAAATAACCTAATGATTTTGACCCAAGCCAGATCTCTCTAGGATGCTTTTTGGTAATATCCATTTCACTAAGATCCTTGCTACCAAAGTGCCTTGATTTAGAAGTGGTTGCTTGATCAGTTTGCATTGGTCTACAAAAAATAAAACCTAAAGCATGAAGCACAAGCAGGTCAAAAATAACGAATACAAGGATTCAGGAAAGTAAGGCAAATCAGAATTATGGGAGACTCCTCTTTAATATAAAAACTAGGGTCCATTTCAACAACTTCATTTGAAAATTATTGATATAGTAAGTTCTTCTCGCAAAAATATGACTATAATCCAAACCATTTGAAAGTTGAATCACAACATTCCGAGCATCAACTAAACCAGCCGAAAACCCCTCATATAATTTCATATTTCCAAAAATAAATAAATATAGTCAAGATTAGGTCTAGGAATAGAAAACTTACCAACCAAGGTAAACTAAAAAGGGGACACTAAGTTCATAACATCCTCATCAGAAATCAAAATCATCATGTCACCCTTAACATACAACATTTTAAATGACAAGCCAAGCTCTTAAAAGAAGACATACCAGTAACAACATCTTTAAAGGATCGAGAGGTAGAAGGATTTTCACTAGCATTTAGAGCAAAGAAACCATATTTTGAAGCCATCAAACCACTCGAAGGAACCCCTCAAGGGTTAGATACAGAGGTGGTCGGAGGAGTCGTCATGATAACCGCAAAAATACTAAATCTAAAGTCAGAAGGCCCTTGGAAAAAGATCGAGAAACTCAGGCAAAATGAACCTACAAAAAATCCTAACAAAAATTAAACACAAAACAACCACCAGGGGAAACCAAGATTACTAGAGCACAGTAGGAGGATGAGAGAGAATATGAGATTTTTTATATTATTGTTATTCACTTTGTCTATTTGTTCATTACAGTGTTTCTATTTGTCCACATTGCTTTTTCAAATGTGGCTAAAAAGTAAACATCTTGATCCACTATGATATGAGGAAGCCATGGAGCCTCACTATGCCATGAAAATAAATTTTAACAATATTAGTCGTGAAAATATTTATCATAATTTTATCGGTATAACCCAGATACGAAACAATAACATCATGTCGGATTATAATAGGGTAGAATTCCAATAACGTAATTGGAGAGAATTTTAAAATTTCAATTTGTACTGATTGCATAGCAACTAATTTAGTTTAGATAAATACGAAAAATACTCACTATCAAATATCTTTTCCCATTTATATCCAAAATTTATATAACCTAAATAATCATTTGCAAACAATACATGATGCGGAAGAATATAGTACAGAACAAAAAAGTCATGATTGGCAAAATCTTTTAATAAAATATACCTACAGATAGATCAGAACATGCAACCTCTCTCTAATCAAACCGTTCTTTTCCCTTACTCTATCCTAAAACATATGCAAAATAGCAGATATGAGCAAACCATGGCTCAATAGGCTAAACAAAGCCTTCTTAATTTTTAAATAAATAGAATAACAAAAGCTAATCATAGCTGAATAGAAGGGCAAAGCAAGCTATTTGTACAAAACCTTCAATAAAATAGTAACAAAGCAGAACCATAACATATTACTCAAAGCAATGTCAGAATATACAGTGTCTCAGAAAAAACCTACCATATTAGAACACCGAATGGATAACAAAATAAAAATAATAAACTCAACATACTATATCACATATAATAGGAATTAAATACATCATATCAGCTATTGATAACATATCACATTCATTCCCAACAAATCATTTCATAAAATATAAATTAAATTCTTAACATTTGAAATTGCTTCAATCTTTAAACGTTTGTTGGTTTTCTTCTAATTACATAAATGTCTTGTTTTTCTTCCTAGCAAAGCAAAGTTTCATCATAATTAAGCAAAGGCTACACTGAAACTTCTGTAGCTTTTTTCCTTGAAGTTTCTTCTTCATATATAGGCCCACCACCCAATGCATCCTTTAATGGTATGGCCTCATTTTTCCAATCTTGTTGGGACTTACTAACACTTCTTATTGCTTTGTGTTTTTGGCGATGAAGATGCAAAATGAAAGCTCTTTCTTTCTAAAAGTCAATTTTGATGGCTAAAATTGCAAAATAAGAGTATAAATGAAAATTAGGCCCATCAACTTGTGTATTATTTATCCAAATATTTGTTTGATATTGGTTATTTTTCATCTTTTATAAATGAAAATTAAGCCGAGCATGAATTGAATATCTTTTATTTTATGCATTTTTTCAACTCAAATAAGTAATCCATCAATAAGGTTTCTCTAACCCTGAAATTGCTCACTTTCTAATTTACCATTAATAGACTACAGGAGTATATATAAGAGCATGCATGATTTATGGTTGATAAAAACAAATCAATTTGCTTTCTTGTTACTTTGCTTTTCTTCTATGTAGTCATTTTCTCATATATTTATTTTGTGCTTGTTTTTGAAGCCCACTTATCATTCAAGGTTGATCACAATAAATCGGATAGATATTTTAAGGTTCTAAAGGACTTCAGTTCTTGATCTGTTGGTTGCCAATCAATAGGTTTTGAGTTTGAAGCTTGTGTATATGATGTGCGTGTAAATTTTTCTTTAATTTGCCTAAATGTACCCGAGAAAATCTTCAGTTTGATAACGAAACAGTATGCCTAACAAATAACTCAAAAACTGAACGAGAGCTACACCAGCTCCAGAAAAAATGCCGGCCAAGAAGACGATCTCCAAACGGAGAATCAAATTTCAGAACAAGAGAACAGAGTTCTTGACTCGACGCCTGACCCGACTTCGTCTATTTGGCCTGGTGAATTGGCACAAATAGGCCCCTGCCACCATCATCTACAGTTTCGATTGAAGCAAACCTCCGCCTATTTGGCCCGGTGAAATCCACTCGCCGGCCTCCCGTCTCTGCACTTGACTCCGATCAAGGCAACCATACAGGCCCGTGCGAGCTCTGATTTTTTTTTTTGTTTCTTCAACGTACGAGCAAGCCACCGAACTCTGATTTTCTTGCATTCTATTCTTTCCACATGCCCGAGATTCCTGATTTGAAGCAGAAAATGAAGAAAAGGAGGCAGATATTCTATTGCATAATTACATTATTAACAAAGTATTGTTAATGATAATAATTATGATGAAGGGAATTTATTATACCGCTCATAAAATATTATCAAATGGCAATAGTTGTAAAATATTAATAATAACTAATAATTATTGATAATAATTATCGTTATTAAAGGAAAAAAAGGTTAGTGAGTATTAAATTGAACATTGAAGAAAGACTCGTGTAGATACAGTCCGCCGAAGTTCTCGGCCGTCAATCTGATCTGACCGAGTGGATAGCAAACATCTCATTTGTTTCTAATGTGCCTCAATGGTTAGTGAAGTTTTTTTTTTTTTTGTAATATTCACATAAAGCTACATATGCCACCCTTGCCTTGCATTCAAGTAAATAAAGCAATATGCCTTATACTTTTCTTCCTGCGACAAAAAAACAAAGAGAGGATATATGTTACGTTGCATTCAAGTATGATGGAAACTCTTTGATTTATGCTCCTGCACTACATAACAAGAAGCTATTTATAAAGGGATTTCGTTCACAGTCTGATGAGGGAAATAAAAATTTCCATCTCTTCAGTTGCTGCTGTTGCTCATTTGTTTAGTGATTTAAATTGGTGAGCAGCCTCTCCAACTCTTGCTTATAGAAGCTCAACTTTTTTTTATTAATGTCTAAGTGTGCTTATGAATTTGAGTTGCAATATTTTTATAGATTATTCAGTAAATGTAGGGGCCAAGTTAAAAGATATATTATAACTAGCAAATGTTGAAATTTTTTGTAAGATATTTTTATCAAAATTTTATCATTATGGAATTTAATATTGTTATTTTTGCTTTTATATGAGCGCTATGTATGACTAATGAATAAAATATTTTTTTGTACCCATCTTTAAGTAAATTCCTCAGCTTTGAAATCATTATCATATGATATTAGTGCTATAATAATCAGCTTCTAAGATATCTATTTTCAATTGTTATTAAATTTGATAAATATTCTCACTAATTAATAAAAATTAAGATGAGTTTGTTATATAATACCTAAGATAAATCAATATATATTTTTTAAATACCAATATTAATTTTATTCCAAAAAATTCTAAACAATTTAATGATGCACAATATTATTAGTTTATCATCAATTGATTTTTAACATTTTATTTTTTTTGTAAAGGATTAATGGAAATCCCACTAAAGTACAAACAATTGTGGAACAACTGGGACGTTCGTGTCTTGATTTTACTTAGCCTATCCATCCAAATTATTCTTATCTTCCTCGGCCGCCTGAGAAGAACTTCCACCTCGAGATGGATACGAATGGTCGTTTGGGTCAGCTACATCTTGGCTGATTGGGTTGCCAGCTTTGCCCTTGGCAACCTAAGTAGCAACATGGATGATTCCTCCTCCTCCAACGTCGTCATCGCTTTTTGGGCTCCCTTCCTAATCCTTCATCTTGGTGGCCCTGACACTATTACTGCTTACTCTATGGAAGATAATGAACTTTGGGCTCGCCATCTTCTCGGGCTTGGATACGAGCTCTTTATTGCCTTTTATGTTCTCTTCCGATCCCTTCCCGACACCCGCCTACTCATGCCCACCCTCTTGATATTCTTAGTCGGCATCATAAAATATGTAGAGCGTTCTTACTCACTATACAAAGCCAGTGTTGAAGGCATTCAGAGTTCCATCAACCCCCTATCACCAACAAAATTAGAAAGAACAAATGATTTGAATGCTTTGAGTCAAGATTTTTGGTTATACTATGCTGCTAAGCCTTCTTTTATTGATGTTGCTCCATACTCTGATAAGTATTTGATAATTAAAACAATTTTCATGAATATATCAGCAGAGGAGGTTTTGATGGTTATAAGAAAGGAGCTTAGTAATGCTTATGATGAGTTTTATACTAAGTCCATTGTAAATCACTCCATACTTGGGTATGTTCTCCGAGTTCTCTGTTCTACTTGCATTTTGCTGGCTTTCTCGCTCTTTATTTTAGAGCCAAAGAATGATTTTAATAAGCTTGATGTAGCCATCACCTACGTCCTTCTTGCAACCTCTATATGCCTCGACTTTATGGCTACTGTCATGCTTATGTTTTCTGACAGGATGATAGTTTATCTCCTTAATGTTAAGAAGCTAAGCAAATGGAGTGTATTACTTGCAAAATTTTTTGTTAGAATTAAAAAGGCATGTCCTAAGAGAAAGTATTGGTCGATAAAGTTGCCACAGTTGAATCTACTCAGTAATTGTCTCTCAATTTCTTCACCCAATAAAACTCTTCAACATAGGATGATGAGTTGGGTTGCAAAAAGGCTAAGATTTGTGCAAGAAATAAAGTTGAATATAACTCCCTTAATTGGGGAAAGTATTAAACTAGAAACATTCACCTTACATACAATACAGCCTGTGCAGGCAACACAAGATGTTCTAGAGTTGATTGTTTCCCATTTAAAAAGCCGCATTCATTTAGACTTATTTGATTTCAATGAACCAGCGGGCTCATCTTCACTTCGACAAGTAACAACCATCCGTAATTGGGCTGTAGAGCCATTTGTTCAGCTTTTTGAGAAGTTCTCCCTTGAAAAACAAGTTCTGATATGGCACATCACTACAGATCTTTGCTTTTATTGGAATTCAGAGTCTCAACATCTCTTGGAACCTCATCAAACTAAGATGGAAGTAGAAAAAAATAGATTGAAAGGAGTAAAGAGAACGAGCACCAAAATGGAAACTTGTAAGTACTTGTCCAACTATATGATGCATACAGTGATGATACGATCATATATGATGTCAAACATGGGAGGAGAGAGCCATATACTTGCTGGGAAGGTTATTAAAGATATGGTTGAGTTCATTCATAAGAGTTATGATGGTCATCATTTACAAATGCCAAATGAAATAGTTGAGGCGTGCATGAAGATGAAAGAGACACCAATAGAATTTGGCAACCTTATTACATCTTTGTTTGGTACAGCACGAGTGCTTGCTCATTTGATGTTAGTTATTAGTGAGGAAGAGAGATGGCAAGTCATAACCACAGCATGGGTAGAGCTTTTGCAGAAAGTAGCGATGAGTTCAAAGGGAAACATACATATGAAGCAGTTGAGTATAGGAGACGATCTCTTGACTTTTGTGTGGCTTCTCAACAAAAATATAAATGCAAATATTCTAGACGAACCAGTAGCTGCTATTTATGGTGTTTATGATAAAATATGGGATTTCCTCTCTGAGATCAAATCTCATTTGAACTTATAAGCAAATAACGCCTTTGATTGCAATAATGTTTTATTTATTCTAGTTTCTTAGTTCGTATTCTTTTTTTTTGTCTTCCTTTGTGTTTCTACTTCCCCCAAAATTTCATCACACATGCTTTTGGCATAATAACTTATTGTTGCTTAATTCATGTCTAGCTCATTGGTTTTACTTAAACCCTCCTTAGAAAGAAAGAATTTTCTTCTAACTAGCACAATATGATTGTGGTGGATCTCTTCAATGATCTTTTTTATTGTCATCAGGCATCAGGCAGCTTGTGATCATCTACTTGTTGGCTTCAATCTTGTTCTAATTTGCAGCATCTTCTCAAAAATTTATCCTGTTGTACGCATGTGTTCACTTGTATATCTCAAATACACGTAATACTTGAATTACTTATGATCTCACCATACAAGTATTATTTAGACTACCAAAACTATTTATGACACTCTCTCTCATCCTTTCCCTATTCCATGTCTTTGGGAATCCTTAAGAATCATTGGGTCTTCACCTCCTACCCGAGGAATCTTAGCCTGACGTAATTTAAACTTTTACTTGACTTAAATATAGTGAACATTTTGGTTTGAAAAGTTTGATCTAACTTTGTTAAAATAGTTTTGTAATCTTGAAATTTTTTTTGAGATAAATATAATTATCAATTCATTGCTTATCCTCAACTGCCAATACAATAATTGTTATGTATCTTCTTTCTACTTTTTCTAAATTGGTTAAACTGTAGTTATAATCATTACAAAATTCAACCTATCCCAATGTTAATCAAAGCCACTGTGAAATCCTTAAATAATGACATATATGATTAGATAATAATAATATTGAGGACATGCGACACAATAAATTTATCCTGATAAAAACTAGGTCAGATGCAGGTGTACTGATTATTATTATTATTATTAATTTCATGCAATAATTAGTATGGTATGATAGCATAGAAAACTATATTTAATGTAGAAGTTATTCCCGGATATGAGCAGGTTCTCTTACTTGCCACTAAAGAAAATAAATAAAATCCTTCCAGCTTTTGTAGGTTTAGAAGCATTTGATGCTTATTCTAGGACGAATATATTCTTTACATTCTTCTCCTCGAATCTTTGGAATTGTTTGGCGTCATAACCCAACTTGATCAGGCCATTTACTCAACATGTCTAATCGTGTTGAGCTGTAACAGACAAATTCCAAGATCTAGTTTTGTTATTTTTTCAAATTTTATCTTCCAAATTAAAATTTTAAAAAAACATTGAACATGGAGCTACTAATAATCTCTAGTGTTGAATATAAATTCATTCAAAGGATTTGTTTTTTTATTTATCATTAAAATTATATATATAATTATAGGGCATGACTATAAATAAAAGGTATGTAACATAGTAATAAAAACTAGTCATGATTGTGCAAAAAATTAAATGAATAAATGCCCAAAGATTCATATCATATTCTTGAAATTGTTATTCAACTGAATCATTCCCTTTCCCCAACTCATAAAATAGAAAGCAAAATCATAGCGCTCAACATACCAAAAATTTCTATCAAAATTTTCAAATATTTATTTTATTAAACAATTTTTTTAGAATATTCATATCCAATTTAATAAATTACTAGGCCGAGCAAATCATAATAGCATAATAGTTATCCAAATATTCAAATAATAATACCGAGAAATTAAATAAACTAAATTTCATAAGACCTTTATTTTAAAAATAGAATATAACAGATTTCCTTGGTCCTAGACATAATCTAAATATTCTGACCCTTTATAATTCCGAATAGAATTCTCCATCTTCCAAACATAATTTAAGTTTCTGTCCCCTTATGACTCGCAACTAATAAAATTTCAAAGATTTTCAAATTTCATGTCCTAAACAGAATCAAAAAAATTCTAGCCCTTATATCTCATATCAGACATTTTTATATCAAAACTCACATACTTCAATCAATATAACTCGTAATTCATTACAATTTAACAATTAAAGTGTAAAGATACTTAGTGCAAAATTTCCCACTTGTTATAATAGTAGGCAATAGAATATACTATTGAGCGAAAATTCATAATTTTAAAATATAATCAATTTATCATAGATTGTATAGAATAATATTTTAATACTTTAATCTTACTAGAACACTAATTTTCAGAGTCTAGATTATTTTCTATTCAATAAAAATAGTATAAATTTTAAAACACTTGTTGTATAATTTTTCAGAAAATATTCAAAATATTCAAAATTTCAATCTCTATAACAAATAAAAATTTACTTTGTGAAAGTTTAATCAGTGCAAAATTATCCTCATATTTTTGTAATAAAATATAAATTTAATCAAATAAATCATAAAATCTTCGTATTTTTCACTTCCTATAGGATATTTTTGTTGACCTAAAAAGACTTGGATAGAAAATATTAGAAATGATCTTTCTTTATTAGATTTAAACGAGAATTTGACTTTTAACATGGCACAATGGAGAAAAAGGATTCATGTAGCCGACCCCATATAGTGGGATAAATGCTTGATGATGTTGTTGTTGTTGTATAAGAAATTTTTGTGATCCAACATAACCCAATATAAAACAGTCACTTCAGGTAGGATTATCATAGGACAAATTCCTTAAAACCTATTTGGAGAGAATTTTAGAGTTTTCAATTTTTACATATTATTTAGTCACTAATTCACTTCATATAATACGAAAAATACCAATCATCAAATATATATTTTTATTTATATCAACAATTTATATAATTAAAATAATTATTTAAAAATAGTACATGTTGAAAAATAATATAGTACAAAAACAAAAAAGTCATGACTGTCTAAATCTCTAAATAAAATATACCTACAAATAAATGAGAATATGCAATCTCTCCCTACTCAACCTTTTCTTTTCCCTTACCCATCCTAAAACATATGCAAAATAGTAGGCATGAGCAAACCATAGCTCATTAGGCAACACATAACCTTCTTAATTTTTTAATAAATAAAATAACAAAAGCTAAGCATAGCAAAATAGATGGACAATGCAAGCTATTTGTACGAAATCTTCAATAAAATAGTGATAAAATAGAACCATAACAGATTACTCAAAACAACGTCAGAATCTAAGTGTCTCAGAATATAGAAATTATCATGTGCGGACGTCTAAGTTCGGAGGCCAGTCAAAACTTACCACTTCATCCAATACATAGCTGTGTATTGATGATGTGGAGCATTCTGATTGGCCTCTGGACATCGTTCAACTTCCCTACGTAATAATTTCTCCTCAATCAAATAGGCCTAATAGTTAAGAATACAAAATAGATAACAAAATAAAAATAGTAAACACGATATACTATACCACATAAATATAACATAAATTAAATACATCATATCAGCTCTTGAGAACATATCACATGCATTCCCAACATTTTTTTTCATATAACAGAAATTGAATACCCAACATTTTAAATTGCTTCAATCTTGAAACTATTGTGAATTTTGATGGTGAAAAATACAAAACAAAATAAAGCAAAATGAAAGCTCTAACTAAAAGTGAATTTTGATGGTGAAAAATACAAAACAAAATAAAGCCTTACTATTTCCTAACAAGACTGACCTCTTGAACTATTTCCTATCATTGGAGGGTATCGAGCGGTGAGAAGAAGAAACTTCTAAACAGAAATAACTTAGCCCATAGCTAGTTTTTCAATTAATTAGGATAAAAAATTCCCATTGAGCGCCTTTCTCTTTGTGCCTGATAATTTGCAATATTATGTTATGGTCTTATTAATTAATGGCGAAGGCTTCTACAATTTGTTCTAAAAGGAAGGCTGTGGCACTACAATCTATGCTTTTTCTAAAGCATGTGAGACGATGATCACTTATTAAGTATGAACTCTATAACATCCTCATTTGATGGTGAATTCTTCTTTGATTCATGTCACATAACAAGTTGTGCCATTACCTCCATTATTCAATGAAGATGTCTCATTAAGCATAATCTCTTCATATATATACACAACACCGACAAAAAATAGTGAGAGGGAGTGAGAGATTTTGGTTAAGAAAAATAGCATATTAAATAATGGAAGTTTATTTGAATAAATTTTGGTGCTATATATATGCACACGGTAGATAAGGCATATAATGAAGAGAATTTATTGACATCATTTCTTCTCACTGGTATGGCATAGTATAAATATAAATTATAGCAATTTCATAACATACCAAGAGTTTCATAGAGAAAGATGGAAGAGCAGCAAATATAATTGGGAGATATTATTGATTGTTGAACGTTATGTGGGATGCACAAAGAGTGGATAGCATTCCCTTTTTTTTTTTTTTTAATCAAAATAAAATATATATTAATAGCAAAAGATACACCACAAGACCACAGCAGGGCCACATCAGGAGAATTACAATTAGGGAAACACAAAAAGCAACAAATTCAAACAATCTGAGAGAAAACAGACCAAATTAGAAGCAAAAGAACTCAGACCGGTACCTAGTTGCGAAGGAGGGGCCATCCAAGGAGGAACAAATAAAATGTCAGGGAACCAAGCCAACAAGCCACATTGAGCCACCAACGTTGCCAACCAAATACAGTCCATCCAAGGTGCATACAGTCAGGCTGCTTCATCATAATCAAAAATCATCTCCTGCGTCGACCTCTCCCCCAAAATTTTCCGCGAGTTCCAAC